CCGCTGTGAACCAGTAAAAGGATTACATTAGAAAGATCAGGCACAGATGACTGGTGTGGCACAGGGCACCCATCAAAGAGTGCTACAGCACGATCGATTCCTCACTGCTAGCTGAATCAGGCTTTAACCGGATGGACAGATAGCCCCCTAAGTTTAACCTTGTTGCGTTCTACGGCTACGGGGATGCTGCTATTACTCTTGGGACAATCGCGTGACAGGTGGGTGCCGAGGTGGATCAGAATGGACCAACCACGTTAGGTGGTGAGGTCCTTGGTGTGATTGTCAGTCCCTAAAAGTAGTCATCTAGCCCTTAACACTATAAATATAAGATCGCATAAGATGAAATCGCCTTCCTACCCCTTTCCATGAATCATGAGATCACGCGAAAGAGTTTTGACGACCGAACAGTCACTCAATTGGCCACAGAATGTTTTGAAAGCATAGAAAAAACCATAAATAAGCAGAAAATTAAACAAAGAATTAGGACAGAGCTTTCGGGAAACCTAAAAATTCCAAATTCAGCGTGATACAATCATTTTAAAATGTGATCCCGCACCAGCACAATAAATAGGGTATAGAACGGCTTGTTAGCAGTATAAAAGTAGAAGGCACTTTATTGACCTGAAGGCTCTGCTGGTAGACATACTGCATTAACTGCCAACATGAGTTTTGTTCAGCTCCGCTGGCTTGGCAACCAACATGGCGAGTACAGTGATCACAAAAAGTATCGATAAAAAATTGCATGCAATCACAACGTAGTCCATTCACAAAGAGGGCGGCTTACTTCGATCGGGTGACTGGTTTTGAGTTCGTCCAGTTTGAGTGCGCGGCTATACTCCTGAGACACAAAAAGCGTCTGCAATACAGAAAAGCAAAAAAAATACGGATGATGTGACAACAGGTTTTAAACAAGGTTATCCTCTTGATAACCTGTCATGTTTCAATTCATGCGTTACAACGCTAACCGATACAGCACTAGCTCCCTTGTTGTTTTGAAGATGTGAAAAGGCGGATTCGCTCCTGTTAAAGAACACATGCTGAACAAACATCACTCAGACTTACAACCTCAAGAGTACTACTTAACAGCAATCTTAAGGACTCAAACGTGATCCAACAAATATTCAAAGCGGGCCCTGGTACTGGTGGAGACGCTGATGCTAAAATACCACTAGGTGGTCATAGGTAGGTATGAAAATTGACTGCATCCTTAAAAACTATAAAACGTCCTGATCCCAAATTTTTATTCAAAAACTTACTACGGGACAGTGGGAATAGGAGAAGTCCCTGCGTGGCTATTACACAAGTAAACGTAAGTCGAAGCTCCGAAGAAGACATCGCTCTTTATCTTTTAGTGGAGTAGTATAGTGTCAGTTATGTTTCGGCTAATCGCACAGACTTCCATTTGACAATAAGAACGAGGTTTTTTTGCTGTACAAGTTCGTTTTTCGTTTTGAGAGCGAAACCAGTGAACGAATTCGTGTGAAGTGCCTATTTTTTCAAGGACGCGAAAATTCCCGGCGTTCGGGCTAGTATAAACCACCTGGGTGTACCGCGTTCTTCGGTTCTAAGCAGAAAATGTAAGGACCATTAAAAAGCGGGTTTTCGACTCAGCAACTGGAGAGTTTACGTCGAAAAACGCACAGTTGTCATGCAGTGCCTGCGGTTGGTGTTATTTACTACAATGTTTCGCTTCCCCTGCAGTCTACTGATTAGAAAAAAAGGAACAAAGTAGATGAAAATGGAGTTTAAGGGGTCAATAGCAGAAAGTGCTGTAATTTTCACGGGCTGGAAATAATAATGATTATTTCCATCACAGAGCGAAACGAGTTATGCAGACTGGTGCGCTGGAAATGCATTGCAAACTAATTTTGACGGGTACCCTTGGCTTACTATTCGAATTTTTAGGTGTTGGGAGTGCACGTGAACGGGGAAACCTCTAACTGGCTAACTTGTACGTGCCAGATCGTTCACCTGTCATGCAAATAAAAGACTCACTGAATGTATGTGAGCAGTCTGGCATCGTTTATCAGGTGCCATGTCACGACTGTTCTTCCCATTATACAGGGCAGACCGCGCGACGACTTAGCTCGCGAATAATGGAGCACAAGCGTGCAGTGCGGAGAGGCGGCCCACTGTCCCAGATTGCTATCCACACTCTGGGAGAAGGCCATGAATTCGACTGCTCGGCCGCACGGATAATGACATGCGTCGCTAATAAGACGGGGCGAGAACTAGTAGAGGCCTGGGTATCAGACTCCAACTCCATGAACAGGCATGTGGATATATCACCCTGTTATTTTGCCATCCATGCTCGCGACCAGAAACCACGGCCCAGTTCCTGTCCAAGCACGCAGGCTG